GCTTCCGGCTGCGCCAGGTCGGCATCCTGGACCGCTGGGATCTCATAGAGACAATAACTGAACACATCCCGCTCGGGCACTCTGGACAGGAAACGCCATGCGACTATTTCACATGCATGCGAACGAGATAGGCCGACGCCTTGTTGCTCGTCTTCGGACGCATAGTGCCACTTTAGGGCTCTACCAAGCTGGTCAGAAGATCAACTCATACTAATAGACAATTCACGACGCGAACTCACAGGAGGGCGTTTACAACTGCTGGATTCGGGGACCGGCTGTACGCGAGGTGGTCTACTAAGACGCGGAGACAGCTTCCAGCTGAAGTTGTTCGGAGCTGCTCGTAGGTGCTTGGCAGCTCGATAGCTTCACCAAAGTAGCTACATCGCGGAAAGTGATGAATTTCATTAGCTCCGTGGTCCTTGAAATATTAATTTATCATTTCCGGAATCAATCTGATGCATCGCTTACAGAGAAAGCTTCCTCACCACCTGGCGGAATGAATCGCCATGTTGAATATCAGGAAGTTCGATCTCATGATCCTCCAAGGGTTGTTGAGACAGCGCCATTGTCACAGCCTGGGATGGAATGCTGCGCGTAACATTGGCCGCAGTGATGATGGGTGATTGGAGGCAAGTAGTAATTAAACCACAGAAAGGTCAATGGACCAGGCATACATTGTATGATGTCCTACTCGGGCGACAGATTGATGCTTCGTGCAATGGCTAGAGACGGTGAGCAGATGCAAGTGCATGGAGAATGGATCGTAAATTGATCGTCATACACTGCTAATGTTAGCGCCTGGACAGTATTAAGTAATCAATAATTGGCGTTTAGGTGCGCTATGAACCGGGTGACATTAAAACTTATACACTCAAGCATCCCCTGCTCATTATCGCATCTGTAGCCAGTGTCATTATTCTATTGAGAGCTAACAATATATGATGAAGAAATAACACTCTTTAAATTATTAATTTTATTATTTTAAGTTACTATTTTAGCCTAGTGACTACAGAGAGCGCTCTTCAAATAAGTACTCTTCCAAATGTCTTATTCTTCTGTCTCCCAATGTAAGTGGCTGACAATATAAACATACGTGGAACGCTTGACGCCCTGCTCTTAAACTAGGACATAAATAAGAACATAATGTTGGCCAGGGCCTACGGGAACTTTAGCAGGAATTGACCAATAGACTTGTATATAGAATAGGAAAAGTCCAATGCAGGAGGCTATCGCACTCATAAGTAATCTTTATCTCCTTGCCACACCTTCCCTATCTCATTATAATATGGTAAAGCAAGCACAATACTTGACAGCTGCTAATGCCTTCTTTCCCTAGTAATTGGCCGAGGTTGATATGCGTCTTTCTCTCCCAAGCACACCACGAAAACGGGCCTCACCCCCTTTGTAGTGAACTTCTCGCCCCCGATCCTACCAATGATTTCCCATTCCAAGAAATTCGCATGCTTAATATTATTAGTCTCGTGGTCAGGGAACAGGGGAAACTCGCAAGGGACAATCATCGGAAGTCCGTTTGACCTCTTTACGGATGGGACTACCCTGTCCGCTCCAAATCGAAGATTAATCAGTTCCCCAACGTCAATATCCTCGGGCTCTTTGGACCAGGGTATCTCAATATTTGTTTTCCCTAGTGCCCTCACCATCTCCCATATCCGAAAGTTGGATCGCTGCTCGACATGTCTTATCATCGTATTAGGAGTAGCCTCTGTAAAGGAGACAATGTTTGCGCTGACCCATGTCAAAGTCATCTTTTGTGGCACATTGAGTATTTCTTGCGAAGTCTTAGACCTGTCAGGGATGACTCGTACTTTCAAGGGGAGCGGATTGGGGCCCTCGAGTTGAATGATATCAGGCAGAGTAACCTGAATATCGAAGGCAAACGCAGCTGCCGGCGACGATTTGAATAAATTCTTCAGCTTTTTGGAGGTAGAACGTTCAACATCTTCCGAACCCGGCATGAGTTGTCGCGACTTAACAACATGTGCTTTATCGAGAATATCCGAGGTATCTAGCGTTGTGAGAATGGGCGTCAGCTGGCGGATGTGAATCGGCAGAGTTGCCTCAAACTTCTTCAGGGAGCCGCTCACAGTCGCCGTGAGCTCCGCGAAGAGGGCATATTCTATGAAGGCCTCAATCTTGCCCTCGTCATCCTTGTGGAATACATTAAAGCTATTGGGAAGCAGTGCCGTGACCCCAGCCGCTGACGTGTAGACTTGTGGTATCTCAATGCTAAACGGCCACCCCTGTGCCTCCTGGCTATCTTCGGGAATATGCACAGGGCCGCTGTAGATGGTCTGTTCGATCTCAATAATGTCGTCGCGATCGCGGTTCCATACATTAACATTAAGGTAGGAGACGTCGACCTTGCTTGTGATCTTCGTCTTGGCTCTGCCGCGTAGCTTTATCGTAACTTTAGCATCGGCAGAAACGAGGTGCTGAATTCTCTGAACCTCGCCGAATATTGTATCCGTAGCCACGTAGCGATGCGGCGGCGAAGTGGCCAGAAAGATGTCCAGCTTAGGGCCCACATCAATCTTTGTGGTTGGCATTCTGAGTTGTTTGCCGTACGAGACAGTAACGGGCCCTTGCCCTCTCTTGTTCTAGGAAGAGACGGGATGGACGCTGTGGACACGGGCTCACTGTTTATCTAGGATGGCAATATGTGTTCATGAACTTCGAAGAAAGGAAGTACCGAAAGTAACGAGTCACCGTCTCCGTTAGCATTAAATAGTATGTCGAAGTTGTTATATAATTATGAACATTTTGGAAATCGTAAGTTCCAGGCGGCAGTGCATCGCCAGTCCTGGAGGTGCCAAGCCAAGGCACATTGTAACTTCGGCCCATCAACCCTTTTCGGGGAATTATTCAATGACAACCAAGTCAGCATAGAGTGTGATCACCTCGCCTCGAATTAAGAAAATGAGGATGTAACTTATACTCTCATCCAATGGCATAAATCAAAGCAGGGGTAAGAAGGCAGCTTCGTCATTGAATTGACCAGTCGTCAGTCAGTTGGCATCTCCAACTCGAGTTTCATCAAGGCTTGAGCCCGTGAATGGGGCACCTCTGGGGCGGGATCCAACCTTCTGGAAGACTTAGTAACCCCAAATGAAACCCCAAAATCGCCTAAGCTTTCTGTTTTCTGATATCTTATTATACTAGTTTTGAGAATAGCAAATCACAGCAGGACACCGATATGCAGGGAAGAAATGCGAATTGCTAACAATCAGTAAACTCAGAGATCCCACAACGGGTACAAAAATAGGGGCCTAACTTGTCATCGTCATATCATTTAATAACTAGATGTTCAGAAGCCAGGCAATATTAAATCATCGTTCTTACAGGTTCCCACAGTAGGATAAGTACCTATCAGCTGAAGCCATCCTGATATTTCTTCCAAGCATGCAGCTTACTGCTTGACTGCCATTTCTTTCAATAACTGTGGCTAATCAGTAAGCACGTAATACATGACCATGAATTTTGATGGTCCAATTCAACGCAGGGCGGTAAGGCAGTTTGAAAGGCATCCTTCAACTCCTAAAACAGCCGCAGTGCGCACAGCCTCACTGAACGTTATTCCCGTGAAACCTAACCATGTCTTCTTCTAAGGCGTAAACCTCTCTATCTGGTAAATGCGTGCCTTTTTGGATGAACCTTGCTTCACAATCAGCTAAATGGCAATGCAAAATGCCCCCAAGCGTACTCTAGCCCTATCCTAGAGACCAATTCGCCGACCCCAGTCAGAGCAAGCAGCTATGCCTGAGAAGTGATCCTGGACATATCGCCCGTTTCACGCCACTTGCAGATGAAAAATGCCAAGCTGTATAAGAGGTGGTAGATTTGGATAGATCACCTCAGGGGCTTATACGAGGTAAAGTCTTCCTCTCCAGAGTAGGCTGACTTCACCAACAATCAAATTACACATGATTTCGACATCTGCTTTGGTACTACCCAATCATACATTGGAACTACTAGATAATTGCAGTTGGGTCGATAGCATGCATTCTATGCAGGCTCCGTCACCAAAAGCCTCTTTCCACACTACCCAACCAATTGGGTGACAAAAGAAATAAGACATCAGATTAAATGGTAGTTATAAGCAGGCCCTTTCCTATGATCAATATAGTAATAAAGTAGTGAAAAACAATATATGTAAATGATATTTAGTGTACTATCTCTTTAGCATTTATTATTTGCTCTCTTAATAATTAATACTAGTCGCAGACTTACAACAAGCAGCATAATACATGTATTTGAGTGTCTCAAATTCAATGTCACCCACTTGCCAACCCACATCCCCATGCAATTCACCTTTCAATACCCAGCCTGGTTCTAAGACTTCGGAAATCGCATGTTATCAGAGGCCTTGAGGAAGATTAACATTTATATGTGAGGTATGGCTGTCGTCACGTGATGTGCATTTCGATGCTCATAGCTAAGCCGTTTTCAAATGCTCACGATGCATAGATGTTATCTTTCCTCATCGACATACATAATCATAACTCTCATGGGCTGAAAGCAATAGTCGCTTGAATTGGAGAAGGCCTCGTTCTTCCTCTTTTTCCTCCCAATGCAGCAATCCGGACGCCCGCCGAAACGCCTTCGCCGGGATACCCGGAGATGCTTTGAATGTTAGACAGCCCCCGATTTATCCAATGAACGGTACGACTGGACTATGATACTTATGCTATATAGGCCGGCGGCGCAAGGTCAAATGCCAGTTAACCACAGAGGCCGTCGATGTCTGCTCACAATGTGTCAAGACTGGCGCGATCTGCTCACTCGACCCTCCACAAGACCAAGCGGCCAGTCCAGAGCGGCATCATCAGAGCGATTCGATGACAGCCCCACCAGAGCATTCGATGCGGCTAGAACGCATCGAGAACATACTCCAACGAGTTCTAGAGGTCCAGCAGCAGCTCATGGCCGACCAAGTGCAAGTGCGGCATCAGAGCACCGCCAACCAGCCGTCATTTCTAGAAATGTCACTTACTGCAGATGAAATCCCCATCGCCGGGCCTACATCGATGACTATTGCCCCAGGATTACCACTCGGAGATGAATCACTGGTATCAACAATGAACTATGCCATTGGATCAACGGGCTTCATAAAATACAGCCAAGCTGAGCAAGAGTTAATCAGTCTCATCCCAAGTCAGCGAGATGCGGTCTTAATCTGCACTCATACAATGGCGTGGGTCATGGATTTCGCCCAGTAAGTTTTGCAAGAAGTGAAATCATATCCGAGTCTTTTTCTAAGTCAATGGTAGACCACCGGGTACGTTTTGGCGGCCCAAGGAGCCAATCCCGATCAGATTACCGCACACGGTGGTGGGCTCCCATATTTTGATTGTTGCACAGATGCTGCTATATTTTGCCCTCTGTTTGCAACAGCTTCCTCCAGACTTTCATAGCGCCGATTTGGATATTGGAAATCCGGAGGATACGGCCCAGTCTTACATCCAGGCAGTGACTCGTGTAGTATTGGCGAATGATGAGCTGGCTTGCTCTGTTCAAGGAGTCGAATGCCTTTCTCTACTAGGGATGATACACATCAATGAGTTTCATATTGGAAAGGCTTGGTCAATATTCAGGCGAGCTCTCGACCTTTTGCGTCTCCTAGGATTCCATTCATGCTACTCTCCTTCAAACCAGGATCACTCACTAGACCTTACAACACAACGACATCTCTGGCTTTCTGCAGTCATGGGAGATTGTTACTGCAGCATGCTTCTCGGATTTGAAACTGCGAGCGGTGTCAAACCGTTCGCGGATATGAACATGAGCGGTTCAGCAGGGGAGGACATCATCTACCACCAGCTATGCATCCTCTCCATCCAACTCACGGGCTCCGATCGTATCGGTCCTGAGGGCAAGCTCCGCGATACCTCGATTCTGAACCAGGAGCTTGAAAAACTGGAGGGTTCAATGCCTGATTCGTGGTGGAAAGCGCCAAAGATGCCTTTTTCTCGATCTTTTGAAGCAGCCAGAGATTATGAGCGCCTTACTTGCCAGGTGTGGTTCCTCTTGCTGAGGCTGCTAACAAATCTCCCTTTCATCAATGAGACGGGTTCAAACACGAAGGAGGGTGCTTTCAAAGAGCTTGCACTAGAAGCCGCGAGGATTATTCTTCACCGACACGAGCAGCTCGTTCACCGTGCTGGAAATACCCAGCTTCATTGTCGTGTGTTAGACATAGGTAGCTTCATTGCTGCGGCTACCATTATTCTGGCCCATGCCACCGCATCGGGGCCTGGTACACGACAAGGCTCTGATATGATACTGGCCGAGGGCACTGCTGATTCATTCACTGCAATCAGCCAAGACTGTCCGAGGGAAAAGGTCGCTAAGCAAGGCTCTGAGGCTCTCCGGGCGCTCCTGGCTGCGGGTATGGTTCACAAAGAGGGCGATGCATCCTCGCACGCAAACGGTGTGCAATCAATCGAGCTCTATCCATCAACCGATAGACATGATGGTGCTCGGGAATTGTTGTCCAGGCTGTTTCGCAAACATTTGGTCCACAGTCCAGATGCCATCGATCTCATTGACCAAGCACTCAATCAGAAGACAACTGAGCCGCCGTTTCCCATTTCCGAGACCAATCTTCTCGATTTTCTCTTAAGCGACGAAGAAACTCTCCCAGTGGCAACTTGATAGTCACTCGACAGGATCTATGCCCAGGCGTAGAGTCCCACCAGCTCTCTACCCTTCTCGACGATCCGTTCGTTCATGACCACAGTGTCCGGCTCCTCTCCTCCAAGTGCAAGATAAACCATGTATGCACTGAGTTCCCTAGCCCGCACACTCCAGGATCTTCCCATGGCGAGCTCCTGTAGACTTGCAGTCCATCCTTTGTCGCGAAGCACACCACCCGGCCGTACAACGTACAAATGGAACCAAGGCTTGTGACTCTCTGCAAGATCTATTGCGAGAGTCTCATGGAGCCCCTGTCAGAATGAGTGTCAGCGACATCGTTCTTCATAGTGTGGACAGTCTGTCAGACTTTTAGTTTCCTTGGGTTTTGCATAAAGTATAGCTTTTGAGACTGGTCCGGAACCGACAACTTCCCACTGAGATGAACATAGATAAACGGGGGTTTCTCCCCGGGGGAGGACTGAGTGCGAATCTGGATAAACGCATTTTGGAAAGCAAGAGGATACTGGAGAGTGACATCTTCACTTCCTACATAATCTCCCATAGCCCTGCCATGGCCAGGGTGTTAGATTTATCTCGTCTGAGCGACAGTACGGGCATCGCACTGGGCAGAACGGAAGCTTACCAGATCATCGCCCCAGCATCTCTATGAGGATTAAGGAGCTCTTCTGGCCAAACTGAGAAATCCTTCATTATTTCAACATGTAGCTTTGGATCTGAAGTAACCTTATCGGGCAGCTTTCGTCTCGTAAATGCAACCACAGTGCTGATATCAGGATGGGCGAGGCATTGTTCTAGCGCAGCTCCTCCGATGGTGCCTGTGGCGCCGGTGAGAAGAACTTTGACCATTTCGGATTCGTTTTTTTCGAACAAGGATCGGGAATAAAGAAGAGAAAATACAGTACGAAAAGGAAACTTCTGTCTATTTATTCCCCCTGCAGGGCTCTCGGCCGCCGTTGCGCGTGTGCTGGTCATGACGAAATGCATGCTGCCTCCTCGGCCGAGTCGGCCGACGGAGTCGCCCATATAAGCGCCAGCGAAACGACCAGCAGCAATCTGAAAGTAGCGAGTAGAATCGCCCATGTTCGCATTGATAAATAAATTCTCTGGATTTTGATATATCTTGGACGGTAGGATGGGTTCAACACTCTCTCAGATGTGGCCACCAGCGCCCAAGTTCACAGAGCGAGATGTGCCTGATCAAAGTGGAAAGGTGACAGCACTTGACGCCCTCATCTGCCCCTTGAATTCTAATAGCTCATATTTGAACTAGGTCTTCATCATCACAGGCGCGTCCTCGGGCGTCGGAAAAGAGCTAGCTCGACTCGTTTTCGCTCTCAACGCCAAGGTCTACCTCGCCAGCCGCTCAGAATCCAAAGTACGAAAGGCAATATCAGACATCCAGACCGAGAATCGCGACTCCAAAGGACAGCTAGAATTCCTTGAAATCGATCTTGAGGACCTTGAAAGCGTGAAGCAAGCTGCCCAATCATTCTTGCAAAAGGAAAGGAGGCTAGATATGCTTTGGAATAACGCAGGTGTCATGTTGCCACCGTCCGGGTCGAAGACCAAGGAGGGATACGATATGCAACTGGGTGTTAATTGCCTTGCCCCGTTTCTTTTCACTCGGCTTCTGACTCCGATCATGAAAGAGACGGCCAAACAGGCAGAAACCGGCTCGGTGCGAGTTCTCTGGGTCTCGTCTTCTGCCGCGGAGCTCTTTTCTCCCATTGGGGGTGTTGATCTAGACAACTTGGACTACCAAAAGCCCCAGTCGAATCATGTTCGATATGCTATTAGCAAGGCCGGCATGGTTCTTTTGGCCCAAGAATATGCTAAACGTCACCATGAAGATGGTATCATTACTGTGGTAAGGTTCCCCAGACCAAGCTCAGACATATGTGTCGGCTGCTAAACAAACCTATGCGATTGGTCCAGGCTATGAATCCAGGGAATTTGAAGTCGGAGTTGCAGCGACACGTCCCAGGGATAGTGACAAAAATATTTCATTCAATGAGCTGGGAGCCCGTCTACGGGGCCTATACAGAGCTTTACTCGGCATTCTCTCCTGATATTACGGTTCAGAATTCCGGCTGCTGGGGTAAGCAATGTCCGTCAATCTATCAGCTGCCCATATTGACAATTCCATAGTTATACCCTGGGGGAGACTGGCCCCAGTACGAAAGGATATTCGAGAAGCTGGAATGGGAATATCGGAAGGCGGAACTGGGAATGGAGAAAAGTTCTGGCTTTGGTCTGCAAATGAACTTCGTACCCACGGGGTCGAATAGGTTTCTGGGAAATTGATTCCTTGTACGGAAAACATTACTGTGATACTTATGCATCGTTGGATTAGAAGGCTGGGATAGAGGATACCGATATGGAACACACGTTCTCCATTAGTCTGGAAAGGATCAGTACTATCCAATTCCCCGGCTCAAAGCTATATGGATCTTGAATTCAAGACCCAAGACAGCATAATGCCCTGATCTAATGAGATGGCGAGATCGATTCAACAGTTCTGTGGGCCAGATGATCTGCTCCAGGCCCGTCCTGCACGTGAATCAAGATTGATGTCGATGAACGGGCATGTTCATGCTGAAAAGCGGTGGCTGGAGGCGGTGGGCAGATGCACTAGAAGCTTATATGAATGAGGTGGCAGTGGATACTGGGGAGGAGTTAGGCAGCATTAGGTAATCAAGATCAGGTACATCTACTGGTACCTGAGCAAGGGGCAGAGCTCTTTGATTCATAACAAATAGCCATCAAATCAACAAAAAGTGATTGTTAATTTATCTATTGTCTTTTTTTTTCTTATATTCTTCATGTGCTAGTTGTTTTAATAGGTGTCGGAATATACCGTCACCGGCCATGATGAGCTGCGCTTTATGTCATCCAATTAGCTGAGGTACCTGGCGGCGGCAACTGGAACAAAGAACAGGCATCGCACGGCCAGGAGTTAGGAGGTAATTAGCCCCCTTCAACTCGCAAGATAGATCAGATGATTCACGGGTTAGGGGAACCAGAGTAAGGGCAGAAGCTGAATTTAACCATGACCCAGCATGTACCAGCAGGCATTGTGTAATTATCTCGTCGGCTCATCTAAGGTATCTGCTGGGCTGCATTTGCATCATGCATGTAGGTCCTGTAGGCACAGCTGCCCGAATGGCAAACATCCGCCGTCCAAACTGGGCAGTTGTTAGGTACCTACCTAGCCCCCCTGTGTCAGGTACCTAGGGCACCATTTTTTAGGGGACCCAGCCACCCGCGTCCAGTTTGCAGCTCCCAGCCGCAGTTGAGCGCACTACTGCAGCGAAGCGACAAGCCCCAGCACCTGACTGGCTGAAATAAGCGTCAAGGCCAATGGAGTCGAGGCGGATGGAGAGAACCAAGCTGCCAGCTCCACCGAAGCTTTCCTCTCATTCTTCCTTGTCATCAAGGGGTCGCCGTTGATTGCTGATCCATTCATTCTTCTTTGACTCTTTTTTTCAACCCTCACCGACTCCGACGTCGCCTGGAGCGTGCGTCTTCACTCCTGTTCCTTTCTTTGTTCTCTTCTATTCGATCCCACCGCCCCCTCCCTGAATGGTTGCGTAATCCGCCGGTTGGGATTCGGGACTTGGGAGGCGTTGCGCAAAACGGCGAACTGAGTGGCTCCTTAGCTTTCAACCACCGTTGGACCTACATCGCCTGAGCACTGCAGGGGAAACCAGGTGACCAGTCAGCTCTCAGCCATGGCGGCCAACCGAGATTCAATCGACTCGCAGCTCTACCAGACGCCTGCACGCACTCCCGCCTTTCGCCGTCACTCGTCTAGGAGATCCGTGGCCAGTCCCATTAGCTATGGCAGTAGTTTTAGCAGTCGCGACGATGAGCGCGATGCGGATCGCTCACCGCCACCGATGCTGCCCACCCCCAGCTCTGGCTCTCGACTGAGCTACTCTAGCTCAGTCACGCCTCTCCGGAAGTCCATGCTTCATGATGACCACGACATCATCCCAACCTCACCCGGCAGGATTGATTTGGCTAGGCGCCTGAGCAACCTGGCGCGGGAGCTCACTCACGATGGTGAGGTTGATGAGCTCGCCCTTGAGACACAGCTCGACCAGATGGAGAAGGTCTTGGCAAGTGGCTCCCCGTCGCCGTCGCCATTCTCAGCGACCAAACATCGTCGGCCGCACAGCTTAGATATGCGCAGCTTCAGCGATTTTGCCGGCTCGCTACCAAGCTCCCCGGCTTCTTCATTCATGCGCTCCCGCTTTTCTGACCTCTCGTCGTCGTTGTACAAGGTGCAGGAACCCGCTCACGAGGATGAGGAGGGGGATGAAACCAGGGAGTTACACCAGGAAGCCCTCACCATCGCCCAGGCAAATAAAATTATCGCCGAGGCCGGCAAATTAAATGAGGAACTCACGACCATTGTGCACAATCTCACAGCCCGTCAAGAGGAGGCCAATGTGCGTCAAATTCCACCCCGATATCTCGTCATGTTTCTAACATTTTCACGTCTAGCATATTCAAGACCTTTTGATTGAGCGAGCTGAGCGGGCCGCCCAGCGAATTATTTTCCTTCAGAACCGCATCGGATATCTGTAAGATAAACTCAAGCTGAGCGCTAAGATAGTTGCAATACTGATGCCCACATAGTGAAAAAGAACTGCAAGACAATGATGAAGAACTCCAGCATCTCCGCATTTGTCTCAAAGCAGTCGAGATCCAGATGCCACCCCATCCCGACAGGGAGCTTCAGCGCTGCATCGCCGCCTTCAAGGACGACTACAGGGCGCTGAAAAAGAAGCGCGCCATCAGGAGCAGCGTCTCCAGCTTCTCAACTTACGAAACATCCCAGATCGACTTCCACTCTTCGCCCAGGTAGCAGGACGAGGGGGTCGCCATGGTGGGACACCGCGACGAAAACAAGCCCATGATCTCTTATAGTTTTTTCACGACATGACGATATCAGACCCGCAGCCTCGGCCAAGATTGCAGCGAAGGCTTGC